CCTGCCTGTGCTGCCCTCCCACTGGGGCTTTTCACGAGGGAGGCTGCGAAGCCACATCCCTCAGCGCAGGGCATCAGGAAGGTCCCAGCGTGGGGAACAGAGACGCAGGGGAAATCCAGGAGCAGGGCAAGAGCGGGCCAGAGCATCCTGCGCGGGAGCACAAGCATCACCCTCCCCAAAGATGCTCCAGGGCCCGATGGTTTCTCTGCTCTCCTGCCTCCTTTATCCTAATTCACATTAAATTGCCCAACTGCAATTTAACCCCCAACGCCAGCAGCCGCCGCTTGCTCCCCGTCCCCACGCCCGACTCAGACACGCAGACGGGCCATGAGCTGCTCGACCTCTGCAAACACACCAGGGCACCCTTCCCCTCCTCCTCCAAAACCTCCCGGCTCCCCTTCCACCAACCCCACATCCACCCCGACAAGCTCCGATCCTGGTGAGTGACCCGAGACCTCAGATACCCCACAGCAGCCTGAACAGCAGAGATATTTGGGCTCTAATTCCTACTCATCTCAGCAAGCTGAACGTGTAATCACCTTTGCAAGCCTGGGCTTAAACCCTTCTGGGCAAATACACCCGAGCAGCCGGACACACGGCTCTTGCCAGCAGCTTTCTGTCCCCACGGCCGCAAAGCTTGCTGAGCGGGGGCAGGGGACGGGGAGACACACGCGTTCCCATGCGGGCTGCCTCCACCCGCTCACAGCCAAGTTCAGCCTTTCCAGCGAAGAAAACCCAGCAGGATTGTCCTACTTTCTGCCAGCGACAAGCCCGGGTGGCTGCAGCTAACTGTATAAAGGCTTCCCCCCCCCCACCCCACCCCTTCCACCATTTATTTATTTTTCTTCCCACTCCTCGTGCTTTCAAGCAGGATGCTCAGCCTAAAAGCTAGTTGAGTTTCAGCAGCACATGGGTCCTCCTACCCCCAGATCTCACCTCTTTGAAGGCATTCTACGCATATTTGCTCGCTTAGAGGTTTCTCCCAGGCAAGGGACTCGCTGGAATTGCTGGTGTCCCCGCCGTGCTCCCCTGCTTCCACAACAGGAAGGCGCTTACGCCCAGAGAAACAAATACACATTTCTAAGGCTACTGTGGTTTTTGCCTTGTGCCCCTTCAACTTGGCCATAGGAAGCCTACAGGTGACCGGCCTGCGCTGAAGCACCTTTTCTAATGAAAAATCTTTAAAAAAAAAACCCAAAACAACAAAAAAATCCAAACCCAAAAACCTCCTGCAGTCAACTTTATACTTTCTGCAGCACAGAAGGGAGGCAGTTTTGAGGCCAGAAGCCACCTGATACACTTTTGTTTTCATCGGGATGCTAGTAAATTCACTGACATACTGAAACCCGCCCTGCAAAGCCTCCCGCATCGATACGGCTGCTTGCACCGAGCTCTTGACGGACGGACACGGGAGATCTCACATCCTCAGGTTACCAGACCACACCGGCTGCAGACCGCGAGCTCCAGGGAACCCGAGACCAAACTGAAACAGATACCAGGCAGTTTCCCCTCCGACAGGCGCTCGCCTTTTAAGCTCTGCTGCATTGCATCTGCCCCACGACATGGCCGACGGCCAGCAAACCCAGCAGAAGCAGCGAGACACCATCCAGCGCAACCCAAATAGCTGGGAGCCAGTCGGTCTTTTCAGCAAACAAGCCTCCTGCCAAGTCTCCTATGGGCACAAAGGGGTTTTTTTTGGGGGGGGTGGGAGCTGATACTCTCAGTTGGATGGCACAGAGTATCTCAAGATCTGGGTGGAGAAGGAAGAGGAAATCCTCGATCTCATGGGGACAGACTTTTTAGCAGGGCCTGTTGCGATAGGACAAGGGGGAATGGCTTTAAACTAAAAGAGGGGAGATTTCAGACTAGATATAAGAAATTGTTTACACTGAGGGTGGTGAAACACTGGCACAGGTTGCCCAGAGAGGTGGTGGATGCCCCATCCCTGGAAACATTCCAGGTCAGGCTGGACGGGGCTCTGAGCAACCTGATCGAGTTGCAGATGTCCCTGCCCACGGCAGGGGGGGTTGGGCTAGATGACCTTTAGAGGTCCCTTCCCACCCAAACTATTCCACGATTCTATGAAGCTACCTATGGGCATGAAGTTTTTTTTGGGAGGGCGGGGGGAGCTGATACTCTCAGCTGGACGGCACAGAGTATCCCAAGATCTAGGGGGAGAAGGAAGGGGAAACCCTCGATCTCATGTGATTTCTTCCTTCCTCCCCCCCACCCGCCCCCCTGCCCCAGTTTTAGCAATCGCCCTGTGTACAGCAGATCTAGAGAGTGCAGGCACAGGACTTGCAGGACGAATTTCCACCGACAAGCAAGTCACGCGCAGCCGGATGCACGCCGACCCCAGCGGCAACGCAGCAAGTAAGAAAAGCCTGCTGGCTTCCACCATCACCCCCCTTCCCCTGCAGATACGAGCAGTAAGACACTTCCCGTGGCAGCGTTACCCCACGCGTGCTTCCCCCACCGCCGCGAACTCCC